AGAAACGTTATGTTCTGAGGCAGCAGACCTAGATCACTTTGTATGTTGAATTTTTTGTCTTCAATATAAATCTGATTGGAAGAAAAAAATGTCAAATGGAAATGCTAGGAACGGCAGAAAATAGAATACGGCAATACGTTAGTTTGAAAATTAGCTTGGAGTCATTTTATGGAGATCTAAAATGCCCAGTTAATAAGTTTAAACATTTCATTTAATTAAATGAAAATTAAATCCATTTAATTTTCTATTAGAGTGACCAAAAGCTTCTGAACAAAAGTAAATTTTAAGTAATTAATTATGAAGAAGAATTCAGCCATAGCATATAGAATGAGTTATAGTAGGAAAAGGCTGACATTTAGTAAGAGGGAAAGGAATGGATGATAACTATAAATCACAATGTACAAAATATACAATGTACAGTATTCGAACATACACGTTATAAAGAATTATAGAAACAAAATGTCAGGGTCAGACAGAATCTCAGAAGTCATGTAAACCAATATTTCATTGTAAAAATAAGCCAACTATGGCTCACAGAAACTTGGACAAAGTTACACAATTGGATGTTTTCTGAGCTAGAACTTGAATTGAGCTTTCTTAATTCTAAAGCCTGTAAACTTGTTTGGTAGCAAAAATGTGTGTTGTTTTTTTTTCCTCTTAACCCTTTGTATGCCATAAGTGTCTATAGACGCAAGCAAATTGCTTTTTTAAATTAAATTCAAAATATCGTGGCGCGTGGGGATGGTTTCCGTTTTGGACGTGTGAAAGTTAACTGTCAATGAATCCTGACAAATTACCCTATGAATTAAATGTAGAAATGAATAAGCCAAAGAAAAAACCTGAAATTCCCAGCCTCCAAAAGAAAATGATCTATTACCAGAAATAGAAGAATTCTTGAGAGGGAATAATAGTAACTCGAACGTCAATTTTAGAGCGAAAGTAATTTGCTAAGTAATTGTACAGTATTAATATTTCACTATTTGTTGACTAAGTAGTTATTTCAATACTATTTATAATACCCAGGCACTCTACTAGGTATTAGAAGTTTTGGTCAAAGCTATAGCAATGATAGGATATAGGACAACATATGGTCACAAAGTTGAGGACATGAGAAGTAGAGAAGGAGATAAGAACAGTCAAGGGGTAGAATGAGAATCAGAATAGTATTTCATGAGAGAAACAAAAGAAAAAGAAGAAGGAATTAGCCCTGTTGGTATGGTTAGTTGGTTGGAGTATCACCCTGTACACTAAAAGGTCATGGGTTTGATTCCCAGTCAGGACACATATCCAGGTTATGGGCTTGATCCCTGGTGGGGGTGCATGCAGGAGGCGGCTGATCAATACTTATCTCTCTGCCCTGACCGGTTTGGCTCAGTGGATAGAGCATCGGCCTGCGGACTGAAAGGTCCCAGGTTCGATTCCGGTCAGGGCATGTACCTGGGTTGCGGGCGCATCCCCAGTAGGGGGTGTGCAGGAGGCAGCTGATCGATGTTTCTTTCTCATCAATGTTTCTAACTCTCTATCCCTCTCCCTTCCTCTCTGTAAAAAAAAAGTCAATAAAATATATTTTTAAAAAAATACTTATCTCTCATATTGAAGTTTCTCTCCCTCTAGAAGACACAAAATGAAAGAGAGAGGGAGAGGGACAGGGAGGAGGAGGAGGAGGAGGAGGAGGAAATCTAATTCTAAATTTTTATATGTAGCCTAAACTTCTTTAAAGCTTTCAAGATATTTATTTCACTCCTTTGATTCCTCTTTTAAAACCTCCAACTCCACCTTTGTTAAGGTAGCACATGCACCCAGTTACCCAAGCTATGAGCCTGGGAGTGTTTCTTGACTCTCTGCTCCCCCTCAACACCCAAATCCTTTTATTTACCAAGTATTATAGATTTTAGTTGATTAAATCTCTTGTCTCTCTGTATCTCCATTGACTATCTTACCTAGTTCAGGCCCTCAAAGAGTTTCTGTTGTCCTAGACCCGTGGTCGGCAAACTGCGGCTCATGAGCCACATGCGGCTCTTTGGCCCCTTGAGTATGGCTCTTTCACAAAATACCAACTTCTGCGCATGGGCCACGAAGTTTCAATCGCACTGTATGTGCGCGCCCGCACGTGGTATTTTGTGGAAGAGCCACACTCAAGGGGCCAAAGAGCCGCATGTGGCTCGCGAGCCGCAGTGTGCCGAGCCGCAGTTTGCTGACCACTGTCCTAGACCATGGCCAATATCCCAATACATACTTTTCTTTTCTATAACCTTTACTTTCAAATCAACCATCCACAGTCTCTAGAGTATTATTCCACAGTGAATATATTATAGCCATCTCCTAATTAAAACTCCTCAAAGAACCCGTATATGTAAGCAAGTAAAGAAAGTGGAGACTAATAGGGAAAGCTTAAGGGTCAAGAGGGAAGAGTTCCTCTATTAACATAAAAGAACTGATGAGGTAGAAGTAACTCAACGAAAGAATGAAAAATAACCATGTGGAGTTCTGGTCCAAGAGTGGAGTATTTGAATTAAGATTTCAAAGGCAGAACAATTTGAAGTGATCATAAGACTCAGAGTATGGTCATGGTAGTGACTGACTGAAGTAGAATTGGAGGTAAAGTCCACTCCCTCGTATTTGAAACAGTCAAAGAAGTAAGTGGTTGCTGAATAGATCATTCAGATGAATTCTAACATCAAAGTGATGAAGAAGACTAAAGCCAGGCGCTAAAAAATTCAGTAATTAAAATAGCATAACCAAGAGATCAACAGATGATACTAACATGGAAGGGCAATGGGTGGTTGTGCTAAGTTGCATTACATATAAAGGTACAGAAGTTTAAAACAAGAAGCATAGACTGTTATGGTAATATATGTAGGAGAATGGGGAGATGATTAGATAAGTTTTCATATCTTTAGTAATACCAGAATCTTAGTGCACTAAGATGGGGTCAGAGGAATTGAGTAACTCGGAAAGTCAGCAGAGTGAAAACAAATGATCCAAGTCCCTTTTTTTAAAAAAAGCAAAGTAAAGGAATGTAAAATGAAAAATTCAATATCGCTTTTCTTACTTCTGTGGAAGAGGCACACAAATGTAACAGGCAAGGAGTCAGAAGATGCAAGGTGTATAAGCATATACTCTGGTTCTCAGTTTGGGTAGTAGATTTGTGGTTGTTCATTTCATTATGTTTTGAAATGTGCACACATTCTTTTCTAGGTATCAGACTTATAATGATAAAAGGTAATACTTTCAAAAGCAACGAAAGAACTTCAATCTTACAAAATCTACCCAATCTGTCTTATGCATAGACTCACAAATTTGAATAATTTAAATGACAGCAAACCTTACAGTAAGCTATTTGAAAACTTGTTTTTTAAAACTAATTTTCCTATCTGTGTTTAATTTAATGCAAATATTAATGATATTGTGTTTCCTGACACAAACCAAATCATGGCACACAAAAAACAATTCAGAAATGCATCCTTCAAAATAGGCCAGCTAGGTTGAGAATTGTTAACTATTGTGAAATTAATAACCAACCAAGAAATGATCAAGAACTGATTCTATCCATGTTGATTTATTGAACGAATAAGTAATATGAGGCAGACAATCTATGTATTGATAATTAAAATTAGGAAAATATAGAATGTAAAAAATATGGTGCATGGTTTTAACTTACAGTGAAATGAAGATACCAGAGTAAGTGGAATAAGCCTATAATCAGTAATGTCTCATTCATGTCACCTACCTTAAGAAAGGTCTTGGTTAATTATGAGGACAGTTATGTAACCACGTTTCCATATATTTTTAAGATAAATGTATAACCATTGCAACCAAAAAATAGTCTAAATGTTACATACAGCAATATTAAAAATAAAAGATATAACAACAAATTAAGAATTATTTAGTATTAAAGCAAAATAAAAGAAAAGGAACTGAGAAAATGCTAAGAAAATGAAATATAGTAATAATCCCTATAATAAACTGAAAGGCATTCAATTTTAATTACATTTACTGAAAGACATCACAAAACTTGAACTATTAGGAATATATTATTAATGGTATCTTTTATGTTTCCTTCCACATTTATCTACATCATTTCAATCCTTAGAAATTTACTCATTATTTTTCAATAATTTTTATTAACTCTTAATTATCTAAATTATTATTAACTATTTTATTAACTCTTGATTAACTAAATTAATGGGATAAAAGTGGTCACATATAACTCAAATCACTTTGAAATGATAGAACACAGCATCTAATTCCTTATCTACACTAGCTGAACCCACCATATTATCATTGCCGTTCTCTTCTCTGCCTATAGGACCTCAAAATGTTGTCCTTGAACTGACTCAAATCCCTAAAGCTACATATAGGCCTTCTTTCCCTTCTTTTCCTACTTAATCCTCCCTTCTGTTAAATGCCATGTAATTGATATTTCCCTCCAATATAAGGAGAATGGTGGTAGATGAGAAATGAACAAAGATTTCCCCACTGACCCAGTATTCTCCATAGATCTAAAATAATCTACAAGATGACCAAGGAGCAGATTACAGCCACCTTTGACAAGGTAACCATAAACCAATCAGTTCATCCTCAGCACTTCAGGACTGACTCCTCCACTGTTGGAAGCAGGTTGTTGAGATATGTACAAATCAACCAGTGCTGTCTAAATACCTAATTATGAACTCTGTTGAGGAAGGTGAGCAGCCAAATGTAATTAAACTGTATTCGATCCTTCTAGGAAATCAAGAATTAATTGTAGTTCTTGGAAAACTAAAATTTTAGAATCATCAAAGATATGATCCTAACTCATTAAAAGGAAGCAGCATTTTTGACAGGTTACTACAAAGAGTTTATATCACTCTATTTTCTAGTATTTTATAAGGATGGTGTACCCATATTTCATTATAACCATACGTATATATAAAACAGAAGTAGAAATGAATTATATCATATGAATAGACAGGCACATGCAATTCTATGAACAGACTCAATTGTAAGAAAAAGTATACCTGCCATCCCTGTGATGACGTTCAAGGGTCTGACTGTATCTGGAGCGAGGTAGAGTAAGAAAGTGACTGCAAGCGTGGCAGAAACAAGAACATAAATGAGACTCGGGAAAGAAATGAAAAGGTACAGTTTAATTTAAAAAGTGAGATTTAAAAAAAGGTAAGCAGATAGTAAGCAAAGCAAATGGAAATTGTTGCTGGAAAGCTTGCTCTTTCCACCCAATCTCCATGTGGTATGTCAGCGATAAAGGTTAAAATATTCTAAATATTCTAAAATAAAACACAACAAAAGATAACAAATTGAGATCTAAATAAATCATATTCCAAAATAAATTCTTGTCAGTTACTACTCAGACATCTTCAGCACAATCTGTAAAATGTTACACAATATAGATGCTTTCCAATTTTTTAGGAGGAAAGGTGAGGAGAGAAAAATGATAAAATAACCAGAAAGCTCAGAAGGAAATAATAAAAGAGGCAAATTTTAATACTTGCGCATACTCAGGAGATTTTGTAAGGCAATTATTTCTTCTTCAACCATTAATAACTTAAAAGGCTTTCTTTATAAATTCAATTTAGTAAAGAACAAACTGATTCAAATCATTTCTGATTAACTGTATTTATTAAATTTATTGGATACTATCCATTTTTCCATTCGTTATTTTTATTATGTTTATTGCATGCTATTGGCTCTGCTGTATTCCATGCCTCATGTCCACCAGTCATCAAAGCAGCACACGGACCTTTCAGCCCTCTGTGATTCTCTTCTTTGCACTAATTGAAAATTTTCCTATTTTCTCAAAACCTTTATTGCTATTTTCTTAAAACACTTAATTTTGGCAGATGATCACTGCCTTTCAGTAAAAAATAGAAACCAACCTTGAACTCTCTCAACTTCCATTCTTCTACCTCTAAATATAGAGCAAACATATATTTATATTTTCACTTGTCCTTTTCTTCTTCACCAAAGGAAGAAATTCCTCTACATGTAATTCTACTTCCCACATGACCTTGCTTCATTCACTATTGTCTACTAGAGGCTTGGTGCACGGATTCGTGCACGGGTGGGGTCCCTCAGCCTGGCCTGCACCCACTTGCCCACTCGCCCACTCGCAATCCAGGACCCTGAGGGATGTAGCAGTGCCGAAGTGGCAGGTGGCTGGGGAGGAGCCCCAGCTGGGGCCGGGCGCAGCTCCACTGCTGCTCATCCCGGCCCTGCTGCGCCTGCCACAACCCCTCAGTAGCGCTGCCTGCCGTGGAGGCAGGAGCAGCTCCCGTCACTGCAGCTGCGCTCGCCAGCAGTGAGCCTGGCTTCTCACTGAGTAGGTGCTCCCACTGTGGGAGTGCACTGACCACCAGGGGGCAGCTCCTGTGTTGAGCATCTGCCCCTGGTAGTCAGTGCACTTCATAGTGACCAGTCGACCAGTTGCTTAGGCTTTTATATATATAGATTACATTCCTCAAGTGCACTTAATCCTAAAAATAAAAGCTTAACTGAACTTGCCTTCCTTACAAGCCATTGCATCTCTGTGACTTTCCTTGACTTTTGCCTCCACAATTCTCTTGAAGTTATCCTGTGAATGTTATCTTTGAAATTCTAGAAAAATCCTTTAATCTTTTCTTAATCTTCATCATACTGCATGCATCGATGGTATTAGATAGACATTGGTTTTCAACCTCTACTTCTTGACACTCCTCTCTTTGTTTCTCAACACTAATTTTCTGGCTATAAAAATCATATCTATTTAACACTTAACTATGTGCCAAGTACTCCATTAAACTTTGTCTATTTTATCCCATTTAATTCTCATAAAAACTCTTTGAGGTGGGTTCTAGTATTCCCACCGACAGAGACACTGAGCTATGAGTGCTTGCCCATAGCCATATGGTAAGTAGCAGGACTGGGTTTCAAGCTCA